TGAACCCCAGTGCGCTCTCCAGTAGAGTTCACTGCAGAGAAACCATTTTGTCTGCAGATAACCACTGCTGTTATATGCTTATATATGAAAATGATGATTGTGTGATCCCAGATTTTTCTTTCTTCAAGATAAATAAAGATAGTCCACCTGAAGGACTGAAATCCAAAGAGGAGAGATCAGAGGACAGAAAATTTCTCATATCCCAGGCTGCAGGACAGACACAATCTCCTCCTGTAGATACTCCGTCTGTTGATCAGAAGCTCAGCAATGGTATCTCCATGAAAAAGTGTCCAGTTACTCAGGAAGTCAATCCAATTGAAAATGAGGATTTCTGTGCTGTGTGTCTTAATGGAGGAGAACTGTTGTGCTGTGATCACTGCCCCAAGGTCTTCCATCTCTCCTGCCATGTTCCAGCCCTGCTCAGCTTTCCAGTGTGAGTATGTATGATGTTTCACTAATGTGCTCAGTTTCTGCTCACTGCCTTGGGGCAGAATATATCCTCAGGGATGTATGTGTCAACCTTACACAAGGGCAAGGATTGCATCTCTCACTTGCCTTTTTTGTTACTTTTCTTGCAAAGGGAAGAATTGTCTGACACACTAGGAACTAGATGAATTATTAACAAGAACTGTTTCCAGCCATGTGTGCCCTTTCTGCAGTTAGCTGGCCAATACAACAAAGGAGGTGGCAGACCTGAGCTTTAAAAAGCATTCTTACAACTTACTGGAGAAAAATAAAATCCTAATTCTCATGTAACATCTGTGGTGTAGACGTCAGCTCTTCTCTGCAGGAACAGTGACTAGCACAAGGAAAGGGCAATCAGTGAGTTCCTATTCAGTTTTCTAGCCAGTTTTATGGGAAATTTAGGATTATTTGGGCTTTTGTGGAAATGTTTAGGACATTGGTTTCCCTAAGACGTACATTCCCTAGCAGCTTGTCACTGATGAATTGTATGCGACAAAGAGCCAGAATTAGGTACACATCCACATACCAAACTTTAAAAGTGAGGCAGAATAATGTGCATTACTGGTGGTGTGTAATCCTGAATTCTGTTACAAATCATTACCAGGTGGGACCAGAGGCTACTTCATTTGTGCCAAGCCCAAATAACTGTCTCAACTGAGAAAAATACATTGTGAGATATTAGTTTGGAGGTTCTGGTTTGTTCTTTCTGTTCAAAAAGCAGGAATTTCCATCTCTTGGTTTTTCACTCCTTTCTCTAATAGCTAAGTCATTATTAAACCTCTAGTTTCAAAATATTTTGAAAACCAAGTTTATTTTTAAAATAAACTTCCTAGGTAAATTTACATTCTAATGAAGTAAATTAATTCCCTTAACAAAAGTTCTGTGTTCATAGTTCTTTAATATACCCGATTTGCAGAAGTTGCATCACTGCCTTCACAAAATTCTTCTGGAGGTTTCTGAAAACGGATCTACTAGGAAGGACACTTATGCCCATGCAGAAGTCTGTTTGTTTTGGGAACCTGTGTACTAGCACACATTATGATCTTTTCTGATAATGTTGGTTTCTTAGATAAATATTGTCAATTAACATATCAATTGATAATAAATATATGAATTATCAAACAGATCTGGTTTTGTCTTATGACCCAACTGTTGGCTATTTTTCCTGAATATTTTTTTTAAAAAACAACACTTGAATCAATGCAGCTGCACACACTGCTGGTACATTATTTAAAACACTCACTATTTTGCCTTTTTCTCTGTGACAGAAGAAGTGCAATAAGTAGAATCTGAAATTATTACACTTCTAATTAGATTAAAACCTCTCAAAGTACATCTAGTACAATGGGCTTCAGATTGCCTGCTGTTGTAATGCTAGTTAAGGATGAGACTTGTTTCCAAATACAGTGATTCATGAGGTTTGTTATTTGACAAGGTTGCTGACAAAATTTGACACAAGTTTTTTTGTTTCTTGTTTTGCAGGGGAGAGTGGGTGTGCACGCTTTGTCGTAATCCAGTGAAGCCGGAGGTAGAATATGACTGTGAAAACACACGCTACAGCCACAGCTATAATGCACAATGTGGCCTTGATGACTATGACCAGAAGGTGGGAATAACTATATATTGTACTATTTAGAAAAGGACATATGATCTCAGTATGAGGCTTCGCCTCTTCATTGGAAAGATGACTGTCTTGACTTGGATGCTACTTAAATGTTTCAGAGAGTAGTAAATACAACAGAAACATTGTTTGTATTCAGTTAGATCATTCTCTTCTATCTAGACATTGCTGTTCAATTTTAAAATGAATGACTGTGGTGGGTTGACCCTGGCTGGATGCCCTGGCTGTCTTCACCATGGGTTGCAGGGGAATCTCTGATCTGGTGCCTGCAGCACCTCCTCCCCTCCTTCTTGACTGACCTTGGTGTCTGCAAAGTTGTTCCTCTCATATGTTCTCACTCCTCGCTCCAGCTGCAGTTTGTGCCTCGTTGGTTTTTTCTTCCCCGCCTTCTTAAATATGTTATCACAGAGGTGCTACCACTGTCGCTGATGGGCTTGGCCTTGGCCAGCAGTGGGTCTGTCTTGGAGCCAGCTGGCATTGGCTCTGTGGGACACAGGGAAAGCTTCTAGCAGCTTCTCACAGAAGCCACTCCTGTAGCCCCCTGGCCCCCAAAACCTTGCCATGCAAACCCGATACAATGACATGTTGTAGAAAGATGAAACATGCATATCTGGAATTCCTTTGCCCTTTGAATAGGGAAGTTGCAACCAGCAGCAGAGCAAGCTTCCCTGAGTCAACTTTGCCTGGCTTTCTGCCACTAAATGTTTTTCCTTTAAGGCTTAGCACCTTCTCAGACATCTACTTAGGCCAGTTGCAATGACATTTTTGTGACGTAGACACTTTCTGACTTTCAGTTGGATTGAAATAATCATATAGTCTTCATATGTACCATTAATCCCCTTGAAGAGGACATTTAGGCACTGTTAACTCAGCCTAGATGAAAGCTTATCTCTTTGCATCTCCATTACCAGTTTCCTCTACCAAATCTGCCATGAAAAGTGCCTTTTCTTAAAGTCCACTTGGTACTCAGAAGCCACAAGTTCCAAATAAACATCCTGTGTATATTGGCGACAGCTGGACAGGGAGGCTAAGTCCACACAGCTGAGCGCAGATGCTGAGCTGACCTTGCACAAATGAAGCCTAGAATAAGGCACTGATCTAGTCTGGGTACCATACATGAAGACAACAGCAATGGTTGTTAGAGTGCTGGGCCCCTTGGAAAGGCCTATAAGCATAGCCACAGCACTGTTGAAATTCCTCCATGCTGTTTCCAGACCTGAGCTACTCTGTTCATAAAGAGCTGGAACATAACTTCTTGACATTGATGTGATCCCTGTTTCTTTTGGATTGGGTACAACTGGCCAGAAATAGTCAGGATCTGGGTCTTGATCAGTGAGGTTCTATTTGGAAAAGGGAGTTGATTAGAAATTCCATTGCTTGTGAGCAAACATGGCTTATAATGTTTTTGTAGTGCACTTTTTTGCATCAGTGAATAAACCAAAGACTAGTATAAATATTTTACAAGTTAACGATGATTAAACAGAGCTGTTTTCATACAGAACTACCAACTACATAACTTATATCCATTTGTATGAATGGATATGAACAGCGTGCAACATTTTCCATTTAACTGTTTCCACACTGTTGTTGCTGTTCTTTTAGTCAAGAGCCAAGGAATAGATCTGGAGTCCAGAAAGGAAATAGTGATAGCAATGAATTCCCAAGAGTTTCCAGGAAATACATACAAAAAGTTTTACATGTTTCTTTTCTTGCATTTCTTGACTATACTCACTTTCAAAACTTTAAAAATGCTATGAGGCAAAACGTTCCCCAGGTTAGAGTGAAGTGTGGCATTTTGCATCAGAAATGCCCAGACTACATGAAAACTCCCTTTGTTGTTAGTATGATTGATTAACTAAGGGCAAGAATGAAACTCACTTGTTTTGAATTAAAATGTATTTCAAATTTGGCTTCTCCAGAAGTGTGAAAAGCTGGTGCTTTCCCTGTTCTGCAGTAGTATGAGCCTCCCATTCCATGAACCTGTCAGCCCCCTGGTAAGTACCGCACGTGCATGGGTCAGAGGGAATCCAAAGAATACTCTGGCACACCATGCAAGTTTATCCTTTGTCTTCTTGAAAGATATTCATTAGCTTTTTTCCTGAACAGTATTGCTTCCTAGGGAAGGGTAGGTGTTTCCCTCTTGCAAGTGCTTTGAAGGTGCCAGGTTGGAGGCAGGTAAATGTTGGCCAATGTTCTCAGGCCTGGTTTGGGTGCCAATTTAAGATACTGGTAGGATACTAAAGGTATATGAGGGGTTCCAGTGATTCAGAAAGTTGACTTGGCTGTATACATGCAGAATGTTGCACTGCCATAAGAGAGTTCTGCTTTAGAAATAACCCTGGACTCCCTCTTTTCTGGTGTTTTGCACAAAGGTGGTACTGTGACTGTGTTCAGGGGAAGATGTAGAGACTGCTGTTTCATCCATGTACTCAACATTTGCAATATTAACTGGCTATTCTAAGGAAGATGTAGATTCATGCTATTGTAACAATAGAACACAATGTGAAATAAGTTGGAGGAGGAAAATGAGAGGGAAAAAAAAAGGTTTTATGTGAAGGAATAGTCCAAATAACAACATAAAAAACGTTCCACCTAATAAAGCTTGCAATGAACTTAACAGAACACATTACCTAACAAGTAGGTTTTGACCCAGGAAGATTTAAGGAGTGGGATATCCTGGTAGCTGGTGCTCATTGCAAAAGGCTTTTGTTGAACTTTAAAAAGAAGGCATAGTAGCATATTTTTAGTCACTCTTGGCAGGCTGCTTCCCGCAGTATCAGCTGCCAGTGTCTCAGCACACTGCTTGGGGGAAATGTTAGCTAATTGTCAATGTTACATATATTATTGATTATGGTTAAATGATGACATTTATATCTGGGCATAAACTTTAGAATGTGCAAATAGCAGAGTAGTCACTGAAGTGTGCTATTTTCAAGATCAATCTTGCAAGCAAACATGTTTTTAATCAAACTGAAAAGCACCCAGGAAGATGATGTGCAAGTGGAGGCACCAGAAGACTAGAGCTCTCTTCCTTGATGCAAGGAATTCTCTGCAGTGACTTCTGTCCAAACTTGGATAGAAGTCACTGGAGAGGAAATGTTTTAATTAAAAAAGTTACATACCTGCATTTTATTCTTATTGCAGGCTCGGCATTATTATCAGATCATCAAAAGGCCAATGGATTTGTCAATCATACGAAAAAAACTGCAAAAAAAGGACAAGTCCCACTATTCTGCACCTGAGGAACTTGTGACTGACGTGCGTCTCATGTTTTGGAACTGTGCAAAGTTCAATTATGTAGGTTTCTAATATGCATGGGTGGGGGGATACAAACCAGAAGGTTGCTCTTTCAAGCTGTCACACTGGTGTAACTATTGGTTCCATTGACATCAGAAATGGGATTGGGATAAACAGAAGTATTAATCAGTTTTATTCTTTGGAAATGATATAAAGGTTTTTTTAATGACAGAAATGGAGATATATATGAATCTGAGAACTTGAGATACATATGGATCTAAAATTAAAGAGGGATATCTTAGCAGACAACTTTTTGGAATGATGCTGAGTTTGCTGTGAGAAGCCAGTCACAGCCAGCAAAATAGCTAGGGAAAACTCAGGTGCATAGAAATTCCTGAGCAATGACGACTGCTATTCTTTCTAGTTCACTGCACACCTCTTTTTCTTAGAGGTGCAGAAACATGTTCCTTAATAGCAGCATTTGTTTTTTACTTACACTGTAAATGCAGAGGGACTAATGGGCTGTAGGAAGTGGGCAAGAGACTAATGGAGGTGTAGCAGAAAGAACCAAGGTGACACATTAGGGTAGGGTAGTTGTTTGGTTTTGATCCTTGATGATTTCTGTGTGCGGTAACGCTGAATGGTTGTTTATTCTCTTACAGCCAGATTCAGAGGTCGCTGAGGCTGGACGATGCCTAGATGTATTCTTTGAGGACAAACTGAAGGAGATTTATCCAGATAGGCATTTTCCTTCGATGCAACAAGAAGACTCTGATTCTGAGGAAGTGGAGAGTCAAAATAGCAAAATGCCACCCCAGGATTTTCAGTGGCCATCATACGGACAGGAGTGCATTCAGCCCAAAAGGAGACGGCGCCATGCTGTAAGATTGCAAAAGCAAAAGCATTTGGTTGCTAAGTGGCCACCCTTCTGATTCTGTTTACAGCTACTGATGGGAAGTTTTGACAGGGCTGTGTGGGAAAACCGACAAGCTTCTATCACAGAGATGTGATCAGTTCTACAATTTTATGTCAAGATCCTCTGAGTGGAATAACATGTCAGTTGTGTATAAATGTGTGAGCATGAACAAATGAAGTCTCTCAGGCCACACAGTTATCTTCCTAGCAGAAAACTGTCAATTTTTAAAAAGACTAAGCCCTCTAGCTACTCACTGTTTGTTTCCTCTGTACACAGGAAAGCGAAAAAACTAAAGGAATGATGTTTCACCAAGCTAACAGACTTCCTTAGGTATGACCTCCTCAGGATATGAGATTTGATATGAGGAATCCAGCAGCATAACTGACACAGTTAAGGTGTGTGGGAGGAAAGCAAGGCACTCAGGCTGTTTATTTAAACTCTCCTAATCTGCTGACCATATGCCTTATTTCTAGATCTTGTGGATAGATGACAGATCCAAAGTGTTTGAATCTGTCAATATTCAATCTGTGAAATCATGTATATGTTTTGCAGTGTTTACACTGAAGTACTAATGTTTTGGTGATAGGTAATGATGATTAATAATAAAAGTAACATGCTAATAATACCTAATACTGCAGTACTTTTTTGTAATCTGTTCAACATGACATCTCTGTTTTATAGAGCACAGGTAACCATGTAATAATCTTGCAACCTCAGTGTGAATCTTGGCCATGCTTTGTGATAAATGTGTAGTCATAAAAGCTGTAATCCTGTTGTCTTATTCAATGATTTTTCTGGGAGCTTGACTGCTCAAGGCCTGTGAGATACAGTCTAATGTGATTATCTGATTAGCTGTTTCTTTTGAAGCAGAGCATTTTCATTAAATCAGGAAAGAAGAAGTGCTAATAGTGCTAATACTAGGGCTCTGTGTGGGCTGTTTCTGAGTGCATACTGGATGGTCTGTTTACAAGGAATGATTCTTCCAGTATCTAATTCATGGTCGGTAAAGCAGTGTGGCATTTCTTGGGTCTCAAAGGTAGCATTTTTATACAACCCAAGCCAGTTGTTTTTCTTTAAAGCAGATATTGGAATGCAGTAAATTACCTATGAAGCAAATTACATGGTTATATAAGTGCCTATAAAATAACGTCATATATTCCTGATTTTCTCTTTGCTTATTTCTTGTGGTTGTGATTACCAGCAGTGCTAAAGATGATGATAATGTGCATATGTAGAAGCTCAAGCAGAATGAAAGGATGTCTAAGCTTTCTTTTTTTTTCTCTAAATTCCACATTGTATTGGCAGAACGCCACCAAGGGCTGAAAGAGCAATTTTAGAGTTCACTTGAACAAAGGGTAGCGTGTAATTGTAAAGCCTGAAGGGTGGGATAGGTAACAGGACATGACACCTGATCAGAGAGTGATGGTTTACAAGCTGCTTCCCACCTCTTCCAGAAGCAGGTGAGCCAGATCTTTGTGTGGCCAATGCTTTCTTCGTGTGTGTGAGGGGCATCTTCCTCCTTAGTGCTCTGCCCAGCAGCGTAGAGCTGGGCTGTGGTCTGGCTCTGAGAGAGAAGGGTTGTTGCAGATCTCAAACACGGTTAAAGTTCATTTTAATTAGATTCCTGTAAATAAAGATAGTATTTTCAGCTTAGTTTATATGGGCTATTTGGTCTGGTAACCATGTATGTTATTTTAGATAACACTTCAAAGTAAAGGTTTATATATGAAATAATAAGATGTGAATGTTATATTCTACTATCTATCTGACTTACTGTTTGCCGTTAAATTGGTAGTGAGCTAATGTTTTCTTTCTTTGAAGAGATGAAAGTCTGGATATTATAAGATAACTGGAAAACTGTGAGATGAAGGGACAGCCTTTACAGTTTCTTTATGTGAATTCCTATGTGTTTGCTTTCTGTCAAACTCCTGTTCTCAAAACAGTAAGTATCTTGGCACAGGGAAATGAGTGCAGGTTTGTAACTGAATTAATCATCCTTATCTGTGCTACAGGTCTCACCTTTTCTCAGTTGGTAATTAATTCCTCCACCAAAGACCTATCTTTTACCATTAATAGTGCAAAAATTATATGCTGTATATCCTTCATCTAGGGACAAAGGTAGAAATGGGAGAGACTATTGATGACTTCTTCTTTTCCTGGAAGAGCAGAATCAACAAGAGCCTGCTTCTATTTCTTAAAGGCTCTAAGTTTGTTAACTGTACCATTAGTTTTGGAGAACACCTGTTTTAATAAAATTTATCCAGGGCATATTATAGCTTTATTAAAAATAGAAGTGTACCAGTTTGTCATCATATATAAGATACCCTTTGGATGTGTGGCCTGAGCACTCTTAAGGCTAACTTTGTTTTTGATTACTTCTCTAAGACATAGTAACAGTTAAACAAAATACTTGTAACCTTCATGTCATGTCGGTAAGCAGAACAAAAACTGAACTCATACATATGACTTCACATACTTTCAAACACAGATCCATGGGTCAGCAACTTCAGAATACATTGCATGTTGTAAGAACAACATTATCTGTCTTGGATATTGCCTTAAAATTGCTGGCTTGTGATGTTCCTGCTGCTGGACACCATACTACCAGGGCCCATACATTCTTGGGGCATTTACTCTGTTGAAGTCCAATTGCACACTGGTAATGGCACTGATGGGTATGAAGGGAAGGGACTGTCTTCTAAAATCTAACAGCCCATGTGGCCCAAAAGAGAAGTGATAGGTTATGTAGTTACTTTTTCTTCTATCACACAGCCTATTTCACAATCCAGAATTTGTAGGAAGGGAAGCAAGGAGGAACCCCTGAAGTTTTCCACTGGAAGCAAGTATAGCAGAAACAAATGCCAGGGACACTGTGGAAACCCCCGTGAATGCATTAGGCTCCTGCAAATGCAACCAAGGGCACAATTTTTCCTTTTGTCTTTAGTAATGGGTTATATGTAGAATGGGAAAATCCTCTTTGTACTTAAGCAGTTGGAAAAGAGATTAATTACACTTCAGTAATAGGTCTGTTGAAGAAGAAATGACAGCTACAAATTTGACTTTTATTCCCCTACAGACAATTTCAAAGACATACTTCTTCCAGTATCATTACAGCAGAATGGTGTTAGAGTTAATACAAACTGGTGTTTAACAATTCAGATTATCGAATGACTGCATGTTTATATGTGTAATGTGCTTTGCTGAACAATAAAATATGTGAAATGTATTTTTGCACATCAATCTGAAATTTTTTGCTCTGAGTACATCTGCTTTCAATTAATATATGGATTATATAACATCATTTAACGTTAGCTAAGCTATTGATAACTACTGATGGCAAAGCAGAATGGTTACAAAAGCAGCTATGTTAACGTGGGAGATCAGCTTTCTATTTGTGCTGGAATTTTCAGTACTAAGTAGATATTCTGCCTTTTTGTTTTTCAGTTAGTGTAAGTTAGTGAGAATCAAACATGCCATGAACAAGGATCAAAAAATGTTTGTAGTTTAAATGTATGTATACATTAAAGTGCCAAGGAACATACTGCTTACTAGTGAGATGAAAAAACTATTGTAATGTAATCCGAAGGAATCAGAAAAGATATTCTAAAATTGAAAATTCTAGAAAATGAAGAATTATGGAATAATTTCCATAATTTCCATAGAACAAAACTACTCCATTTGTAAAAAGTCAAGTAGATACTGCAAGTGCTTTTCTATTGTTATTGGTTCCTCTCAGTTTGGTTTATGGGAGTATAAAACTATCAGCAGCAACTTTCTGACCTGGAGGGCCACTGGCTTGCGGGGTAAGGAATCCTTCTTTCAGGGTTACAGCTGTGCTGCTCTTCAGACATAATTGAGAGAATTTGTAGATACAGATAACTTTTGTATTGTATAAACAGGAAAACGTACAAAAACTTCTGGGCATGCAATTCCTTCAAGTGTGAAATACAGGCAATAGACTTCAAAGCTAAATACCAGCTAAGTTTCTCTGACTTTAGTTAGCTATCAATGATAGAATCTGAGGGAAATAAAGATAGACAGTAGTCATGGGCTAAGGATGGTGCACATCTTTTGAAGCTTTGTAGATCAGGAGCAAGAAGTGAGAAGTGGAGTGATGGTTTTTTGAGAAATCTTACCCCACTGTCTGTTCCTGTCCTTCAGTAAATGTTTATGAAAGTCCATTTTAGTGAGTAATGTGCATTTTCATGAGAGCATTTAGTAGATCGGTAGCATTTAGTCTACTAAGTAGACTTTTGTAGAAGTTTCTATTAGGATATGTAACAGTAGGAACATGGTATTTGGATGGCTTTGTTGTGAAAAGTGTTTACTGTGGTGGGAATACTTACTGTGGAGATAAGAAATTGCAATGTTCAAATCTGTTGTCAGATTTCTAGCTCCACTTGCATTCCAAGTATCTGAAAAGAGGTTCTTGAAAGATACTTTTCAGATAACTTCCTGATGCATAGGATGTAATTTGGAATGGATTCCCTGTAAATTCTATCTCACAGTATATTTTTGCTGTAGAAAAGTCCTTTTTAGGTTAAGGAGATAAGACGTGCGAGTGTTTTTCCCAGAGCAAATAGGGTAGTGTCTGAAGGTCAGGGAGTATTTTACTGCTTTTGGAGAGTGTTTGAGATGGTTACCAGTTTTATGGAAGTAGCAACACTGATTTATGGTTGTGCTGTGGATGTTAGTTTGTAAGTTACTATTCTTGATCTTGATTGTAGTGCCTAGGACAATTACGTCGATATGGAAGCATTCCAGAAGCAGTCTGATACTGAGGCAATGCTTATTAAATTTGTTGTGAAAGTCGGTGAGGGAATCCAGGTTTCCCATACAGATGATAGACATGTCACTTAGTTATTTTAGGCATAACATAGATGTTATGTTCCTAGATGGTCTGTGCTGAGATGACATATCTGTCCTTTATTGCAACATCCCTCTCTTACCTGATGCACCTGATTGCTTGCCACACTAGAATGACTTTTTGACAGTGTTTCTCATTAACAGTTATGAGTTCATTTGAGCTGAAAAAAAAAAAAAATCTGTTTTTATACACTGATATTTGGGCAGGAAATGAAACATACTTGAATATTTTTCCTTGTTTGCTTATTAGCCTGCTCTTGCTTCTGATGTAGTTAGTAAGAGCAGGAATGGTTCTTACATCTCTTATAAATTCAGTGCTTGCTCATTTCTCCACGATGTCCTGCTCTAGGAAAATATGTTGGTGCTATTACTCTTTGTACAGTAGACTTCCTAGAGTTTCTTGATGTAGTGCAGGTATGGGACAAACAGGGAAGTTATGAGACACCTCATGGGAAATTTACAGT